CCCTTACCGATCGGTCGGACGAAGTAGGTGGAAACATGAAGCAAGAAGGCGTGAAACATAGACAGGGTGTCCGCCCGTTCCCCTGATGAGGACGGAACAGGTGAAGCCACTCGATCATTGAAATAGGAAGGCGCTCAAAGCAAATTGGAATCTGGGACTCCATAATCTGGGACACGTAAGACTCGGGTACGGGGGACTCGGGTTGGCCTGACGGGGGCCATCATAAAAATGACGAGGCCCAATCTGAAATTTGACGCGGTCTCCCGCTGCAGACATCCCACGAACACTGGACCGTCAAACTCCAGGACGCGCTCGTCAAAAAACGTCGGCAAACCCGAGTTCCGCGGCTTACTCGAGTCCTACGTTTCCCCGACAACAATACCTGCTCTCAAGGACTGGCGGGCACGTGTCACCGTCCCTTCGGGCCCCACCCGCCAGGGCCCCATCCCTCAGGCCCCCCCCTGCGGGCCGTCAGGTTCTCGCCCTCAGGGTCAGGTCGGGCGTGTCCCCCTACAGGGGGATTTTGGGCGAACGAGAAAAAAGAGTCAACGCACACGCAACAAATCACCAAACAAAACTCAAAGAGCAAAAACGTCCCCAGGCTATGTTGGGACTACTTTTGAATATTCCTCCTGTAGGGAAGCAGGCCCGACTTGATCGTAGAAGAAGCAAAAACGCCATAAACATTGACTCTTGGCGCTCCGCGCGGATTTCTTGCATCTGCGCTGGGCCCCACTCCCTGGCGCGCGGAGCGCGCAAGGGGCGGCGCCGAAGGCGCCGACGGGGGGGCCCAGCGCGGATCTAAGAAATCCGCGCGGAGCGCCAAAAGTTTATGTCTACGGCGATTTTCCTCCTTCACACTCTGGCGAACAAATCACCCTTACGTGCAGCCGACCGTGACTTGACAAGCTCCGTGTTTCCGTGTGTGTGTGTGTGTGCGTGTGTAGACGAGCGCGTTCCACTACTCGCAAGGTAACTACTCGCAATTGGCCTAGATCCGCCGCGGGGGGTCTACGATGGATTACATCGAAGCAAGCATGTGTTTTTCGGACGTTTACGAGTCGGCTTTTTGCGAGTAGTGGAAAGCGCTCGGTGAGTGTGTGTGTGTGTGTGTGGCTCTTGGACGCCCGATTTATCCGGGGTAACTCGGGTCCGGGGTAACTCGGGTTTGGATTCCCGAAAAAGAACCCGTGTTATCCCTGACCCGAGTTACCCCTGATGATTCGGGGCTCTTGGACGCCCGATTTATCCGGGGTAACTCGGGTCCGGGGTAACTCGGGTTTGGATTCCCGAAAAACGAACCCGTGTTATCCCTGACCCGAGTTACCCCTGATGATTCGGGGCTGCCATCTCTGAGCCGCCGATCCTCAGCGCCCTCTCCCGGCCCGCGCGCGGCCTGGTCGGCGCGGCTGCCGGCCGGCGCGCCGGCCGCCATGTGGGCTGCCGCCTGGCACGCGCGGGGCGGGCCGCGCGCGGCGCGCGCTGCGGGGCCGGAACGGCTGCGGACGTCTCCTCCTCCTCCTGTGATCCTGTGATCCTCTGGCGGACAGGTACACCTCCCGCAGGGCGCACGAGCCGCTGGAAAAGGGGCAAGAGGGGCGAAGGGGGGTGGACGGTGGTGCAACCCGCCAGGCAGGAAAAGTGACCTGACTAGGGTTGCCTGGGCGGGGCTGGCCAGCTCTTCCCGAACGATATGCGGGTAGAGGGGTCCACCCCCTGCTCCTCCTCCTCCTCCTCCTCCTCCTCCTCCTCCTCCTCCTCACCATCGTCGTCGTTCTCCTCCTCCCCCTCCTCCCCCTCCTCCCCCTCAAGCAATCGCGATTTTGGGATCCTGTTCCAAGACGCCTCATGATACGAATGAGCGTTTCGCGCGAGACATCCTCAAAACATGGCGATGTTGAAATCGATGGCTTCATCCTCGGAGTTTCCAAAATGGCCAATTCCCTGCAGACATCCTCAACACACATGCAATGCTGCACAAGAACGGATGGAACGTCATGCCGGAGCGCTCTCGGATGACCTCCAAGAGGACCCCGGATGACCTCCAGGAGGGCCCCGAGACGGCCCCAAGAGGCCTCCAAGACGCCCAAGATGGCCTCCAAGACGGCCCTGGAGCAACCCAGGAGGGCCCCAAGTCGGCCCAGACAGCTTCCGACGGCGTCAGACGGGCCAGAAGGAGATCAAGACGGCCCACGATGGCTCGAAGATGGCCCCAGACGGCCCGAGATGCCCCCAAGAGGGTCTCCAGCAAGGCCCGAAGAGGCCAAAATCATTGATTTGTCGTAGGTGTTTGGGGGATTTGGGCATTGGCTTCTTTTCGGGCTTCCGACGGACCAAGACGGCCAAAGAGCCCCCAAAGATCGCCCCAAGACCGCCCAAGTGACCTCCAAAATGGCCCCAGAACGGCCCAAGACGGTCCCCGGCCCAAGAGGCCTCCAAGACGCCCAAGATGGCCTCCAAGACGGCCCTGAGGCACCCAAGAGGACCCCAAGTCGGCCCAGAGAGGCCCAACAGACGGCTTCCGACGGCGTCAGGAATGTCCTAAGATGGTCGAAGAGGCCCCCGAGAAGTCCCAAGGGGCCCCCAAGAGGCTCAAGGAGGCCCCCAAGATAACCACAAGAGGCTCCCATGAAGCTCCAAGGCGGCCCAAAGAGCCCCCCCCCGAGGCTCCCAAGATGCCCCCTCCTCCTCCTCCTCTTCCTCCTGATCTTCCGTGCCATCCTCCCCCAACTGTTCCCCCCGAAGGGTTTCCACAACGGCTGCGGGAACACATGGTCTCATAGCTTGGCAGAGCTCTTGCCACAACGCTCGGCCACATGGGCGAGTCCAAAAGACAGGGGGCGGAGGTGATTTGCCGTAGGCGTCTTCGGTATGGTTTAATGAGATGCACCGACCAGTAAGGACAAACGCCTTCACTGAGTTGTCCGGCGCGTGTCGAGGTGGAGGTTGCCATGAGGGAGCTTACGCCTTGGCGCGGGGGCATGCGGAAGATGGACCGTCACTGAGGCAATTCGGATGGACATTGGGAAATTCGAGCGACGTCTGGATCGGTGAGGGGGGCGGGGCCAACATGGGAAAAGTCGGAGGGACATGGAGGATGCTGGATTTCCGTGGGACAAATTGGACGAGCTGGCCAAGGCTGGAAAGCCGCGGGGGCATCCCGTAAGAAACCGGCCAAAGCCAGGAGGCTCCGGAGCTCCTCCTGCTAAGGCTGACCCTGGGGCCCTTCTGGATCGAGGCGAAAGACTGAAGGGGCTCTTCTGGCTGAGGCTGGGGGGGCCCATGACGAGCTACAAGCCAAGGCTGGGCGGCTCCATGGGCCCTTCCGGCCAGGGCTGGGGAGACCCCGCGGCCTGTTGAATTTCCCTGCCTCCTTCCCCACTTCTCAACGCGTTTATGAACTTCTTCGCCTTCCCCCCACGTCCCCAACGCCGATGCAATTTTCCCCATGCGCAGCCAGGATTCCCCATGGTCCCCAAGCCTCCCCCGCGCGCTCGCCGCTTTCGCCGCGCCCGCTCAACCTGCTACATCCCGACGCACAGTCCACAGCCCTCGCCATCGCAAGCCATCTTTCCTCATGACCTCCCACACCTCGCTTGCGACTTTGCACCCAACAACGCTTGATGGAAGTTGCATCTCATCAAGGTATGGGCAGCCATTCTCAGACGAAGCCACACGAGGGACCGCCAGAAAGGCAGAGAGAGAGAGAGAGCGCGAACAAGAGGTGGCGACATCCGAAGCCTACACCCACCGGCCACCAAACCACCCCAACCCCACCTGAAGGCCCAGATTGACCCTCGATTTCCAGTGGGGGGGGGTCGGGAAACATGGAACCCGTACCCCCCCCAACCCGAATTTCGGGTCAAATTCGGATCTTCGGGTTGGGTTGGGGTGGCCTGGTGGGTTGTCGTACCCCCACCAGCCATCGATTCTCCTGCATCGGTGGCAGGATGGGGCAGGGTTCGGATGTCGCCGCGTGGTCGACGCATTCCGATTCTTGCCCCCGCCGCCCCTCGAGTTGCCTGAAGTCTTGCTCGGTGAGGGCAGGGCTTTGCTTTGGGTCGGGGGTGTCCCCCTACAGGAGGATTTCGGACGAAAAATTAAAAAGTCAAAACAATACGCAAGAAACAATGAAGAACACTCAACAAGAGAACGTCCCCAGACTATCTTTTTGACTATTTTCGAATATTCCTCTCGCAGCACATCAGTGCAGCTTTCGCCGCCGCAAGAGGGCGCGCCCGAGGCCCCAGCGGGGGCCACGCCTTGGCCACCGTCTGCAGCAGCGCCGCCTGCTCCACGGGGGCCGCGCGCCGCTGGAGCACGAGGACGGCCTCTGGGCCGCGGCGGCGCGGCGGCACCGAGCTCGACGGCCCACTCCCTGATCCTCCTCCTTCACCTTCCCCTTCTCTTTCTCCTCATCCTCCTCGTCCTCCTCGTGACTCGTACTCACCCTCCTCGTCCTCCTCGTCCCCTTGCTCATGGCCACCACCACCACCAATTCCACCACCACTTCTAACACCACCACCACCATCACCATCATCATCATCATCATCATCATCATCATCATCATCATCATCATCATCATCATCATCAGCATCAGCATCATCATCATCATCATCATCATTATCATCATCACCACCATCATCATCATCACCACCATCATCACCATCATTATAATCACCATCACCATGACCATCACCATCACCATCATCATCATCATCATCAACATCATCATCATCATCATGATCTTCATCATCATCGCCATCGTCATCGCCATCGTCATCGTCATCGCCATCATCATCATCAGCATCATCATCATCATCATCATATTCATCATCATCATCATCATCATCATCATCATCATCATCATCATCATCATCATCATAATCATCATATACTTCGTCCTCGTCCTCGTGCTTGTCCTCGTCCTCCTCGTTGCGCGCCCTCAGGTTGGGGCACCCGAGCCCCGCCCTGCCTCAAGAGCCAAGAGAGCAGAGCGGACGGCGGCCCCTTCCTCCTCCTCGTCCTCCCCCTCCTCCTTCTCCCCCTCCTCGTCCTCCTCCTCCTCCTCCTTCTCCTCCCCCTCCCAATCCTCCTCCATTATTTCCCCTTGTGAATCACCTCTTCCTGTCTCACCCCGAGGCCGGTCGGAAGGGCGGCTGGGCGTTCCGCCTGAGACTGGCTTACCACTAACCATGTATGACCTGAGGCCCGAAAACTGGCAACAGCTTCACCAACGGAGGGCGGGTCTCCTCCAAAATGTGGCTCGCGCCTTAGCCCCACGCACATTCGTCTTAAACATCTGCAAGCGCTTCACGGATTGAGGGCGGGTGGTTTTCAAAATGTGTCTCTCGCCCAAACGCTGTGCACACTCGTCGTAAACATTTGCAAGGCTTCACAAACCGAATGCGGTTCGTCTTAGCGCCGCGCACATTCGTCATAAACATTTGCAAACATGTCATGGGGGGCTGGTCGTTTTCAACACGTTGCTCTCGCCTCAACGCCGTGCACATTCACTTTGCAGTTTGCAAGAGCTTCACGGATTGAGGGCGGTTCCTCTTCAACATGTGACACTCGCCTTAGCGCCGCGTCCATTCCTTTTTTACATTTGCAAGACTTGCGCTGGTTCGCATGGTTGACGTACCAGAAACGGTGCTTTTGATCGCTTCAGAATTGCCAGGGCGCGACATTTACTTTGATCCGCGGTGCTGAAATTCATGGAATGGTGTTCTGGCACGGTTCAGGATCGTCGAGACGCGAAAGTCTGGTTGACTCGTGGGGTGAAATTCCTGATAATGGTGTGTGGAGACGCTTCAGGATTTTAACACGGTTGTCTCCCAACGGGGCACTTCCCTGAGTGGAAGTGCATCCTTGTATGGGGCCCATGAAAGAGGGAACGGTGTATCCACACCTCGTTGATGAGTCTTAGGTTCACCCTGGTACCCCTCCTCCTCCACGTCTCCTGTAAAAGTCGTCTGCCTGGTCGATGGCGTTCAAGAACTCCGTGTAATCCTCTCGGAGTGCGACCATGGCAGGAACGAGCACGACACAGAGGGGAGCCCACGAGGTGCCCCCCCGCTCCCCAGGGAAGAGGGCAAAGAAGAGGTGCAAGACGGATGATGGACGAGAAGGGGGAAAACAGAGAGGTGATGGGCAAGAAAAATCAGCGGCACACACCAGTGCTGAGATCGTAGAACAAATTGATCATCAATCAGTCACATGGGCTGACTGACCACTCTCGGACACATCGGACGACCAGGCCGGTATTACGAACACCCCGACAACGCCATCTAGATCAACACGAGAAGGTCTGAAGGGGGAGCACTTGCGCGTTGCAAAAAGGGGACTTGCAACAGCGCTAAGCTGCGCACGGCGCCGGAAGAACGCAGAGGGAGGGATATGTTGGTTGGATTTCTGCGTGGGCACGAAATTTGGACGCCCAAAATGGGTACAGAGAAAATGGGTACAATGCCCAACAACAAATTTTGTTCAAAATCGACTGCGGCCGCTTTTGGACAGGCGGCTTTTTGTCTTCAATGGGCAACGTCCGCGGCGGCGCGGACAGCGAGTCCTGTTCGAGATGAACAAGGACAGCTGTTGGGCATTGTACCAATTATTTCCGTCCCCATTTCGTTCGCGCCAAGAAATTATGCTCCTCGTAGTCGCAAGACGGCAACATCAACGCAACTCAGACAACACACACACACATGCTGCGAGCACGCCTTCCGCGGGCCGCGCTTCGAGGCGCTCTCATACCGTCCATCAGCCAGAGTGCTCCGCCACCGCAGCCACGTGCACCCCGGGCACCCACCAACGCAACATGGTCGTCCCCCACCCCAGTGCAGGCGCACATCCTGCCAGCCGCACGCGTCGCGAACACTGATGGCCATGGCTGCTACAATATGGACACTATCCTCTCCTCTCCGGTCCTCTCCTCCCTCTCCACTCCTCTCCTTTCCTTCACTGCAACGCCACGCCCTCATGCTCCACCACCTCCTCCTGCCCCCCCTGTTCATTATTTTCTTGTCAGTATGTTAAGCATTAGGTCTCGCAAGTGTTGTGTTACTGCTCAGGGTGCATAGCACGATATGTGTGAGTGCGGATCTGATCCAGAGGAACGGTTTCAGAGTTTTTATGAGTTTGAGTTCGTTTCGCAAACATGCTGGCTCAAAAGAGAGATGTGATCTGCAAGTCGGATATTCGCAAGGTCATGAGCAAAAACAGCAGACCCTCGCACCAGATCTCTCACAGAATCGGATGTCATCAAGAGAGACACGATAGGACTCACGACGGAGGAGAGGCTCGGCAAGCCTCGGGGCTCCAACGGCCAAGACGAACTCTTCGAAGAGTTCAAAGACACGTTCGCGAACGACTTTTCCAGTCTCCAGGTGATGCGAGGTCACTAGTGGAGTCAGCGGCAGACGCCTCAGACAAGTGCTCAACGCATGCGCTGACTCCTTGCCAAAAAATCATGCCTCGAAGTATCGTCCGACTACTGCGAGCGTTGTGTGACGGACTCGTTCTCAACATCATCAAGAAGAAGACGAAACCAGATAACGGATTGTTGCCATGGAGATTGTTGCTCATGGAATATAGACTCAAGACGGGCGGGCGATCGATACCATTCTTTGATGTCAGCGATGGGCAACAGACCAGCGGCATGTGAATCGTTCGGGACGCGGTGCGATAGATGGTTAGATTTGGTGCGTCAAACGGGTGAGTCTCGTTCTCGACATCGGGAACATCGACGAAGGCGGAGGCATGGGCGACAATGGCAACGGAAAGAACTACCAGGGCTACACCGACAAAAACTACTAGCGCCAGAACAATAAGGGATGCAGCAGCAAGGACTACCAGGGCTACAACAATAAGGGCTAGAACAGCTACGACAGCAAATGGCAAGAGAACCGATGCTGAGGGGTACAAGAACAAGAGAGGCAAGATCCCAGCGGAGGAAGGAACAGCACCAAGGGAGACAAGAGTCTTGGTCTAGCAGGCGCCTTTCAGGGCTACTGTGAGGGGTGCTGGCAGTGGGGCCTCAAGAAATCAGTGTCCCAACAGAGTGGACGTCGGAGCTCTTCCCCAATCACAGCTCTGACCAGCAACGCTTCAGATGATCCAGTCTCAAAATCAAGGCGGAACCTCCACGGCACCACAGAGATCGTCAACACCATCCTTGCCGAGAACATCAGCACCACAACCAACAACAACGGCAATGAAGACAATTTCGGAGCTAACGGCTTACGTAGAAGGAGCAGCGCTACGACACTTTTCGCTTCCGTCGATGAGGAGGACTGGCCATGTCCACGGGGGCCCTACTACGGTATCGACGATTCGGGGAAAGCCAATCTCAGGGACATCCAGAGTGGACCGACCAAGAGCTACAGAAAAAAGAACATGGACCTCAACATGATCGGCAACAGCGAGCAGGTATCCAACAAGATCAAGGTGGCCGTTTCAGACGTGGACTGGAACGTGTTCTCGATGGGCAACGTGTTGCGGCGTAGGTTTGCTGATCATTTCATGGGAGACGGTCGCAGATGCTGGGCCGAAAAAACTGACACGCACGTAGAGCTCATCGAGGACGATCCGAAGGCGGATGCACCGCTACACTACTTCAATGGGGACACCTGCACGAGACAGCTCACAGAGGACCAGCCTCTCCTGGTCGGAGCAATGCACCACGATGGCGATGAGGTGATCATTGAAGGCCTGGTCAACCAGCCGGCTCAGCGGCAGCAGGGCGGCACTGGTCAATTATGGTGAGGGTCGAGGATGAGCGATGTGCCAGCGGCGCCCCGAAGTGACGCTCATGATTCGATCATATTGCTCGACCGCCAGATGCCGTGAGACCTCGAGTGGGCGTCGGCCCTGGACAGGCGGCAGCAACAAGCGCGATTGCTAATGGCACGTCGTCGACAACCACAGCCTGACAAATTGCCCAGCAGCTGCATGGTGTGAGATATGCATCGCATCCGAAGGCCGACCCGACTCATACGCAGTTGCATTTCGCAAAGACCCAGAGGAGCTCGGCCCGAGGATACAGGTGGACTACATGTACATGGCAGCTACATGGAATTTCTGCGACGAGCCCCAGAAGAGACCTGCGCTCTTCACGATGGTGGGCGCAAGCAGTGGAGTAGGAGGCGGAGTGGTGGTACTCAAGAAAATGAAGGGAGCAGGCAGCCTCACGTTCCTTGGAGGCCTCGAAGCATCAGATGTGGTGAGTGACAATTGGATGGGCCTGGTAGACCTGGCGGACTACATACCTCGGAAGCGAAAGCCCGCCAAGACGACGGCGCAGACCATCTCGAGAGCTTAGCATGAACAAGTTGGTGCAGTGGAGCGTGTCCATCGATCTCTTCAAGGTTAGCTTCGTGCTCTGCGGTCAGATGTTAGTGCTCGGCGTTCTCATGATAGTGTGCCTGGCGATGTGTGCTATCTCCATGGATTGTTCGCCACGAGACTTGGATCATCAACAGGTACCAGGTGCACGAAAGGGCCAAGGCGACGGCCTGCCAGGTCTTGAGAGGACAGGCGTAGTTCCGCATCTAAGTCCGTGGTATTCGGGAGCTTGAGATGATGAGAGTTCCCATCGAGCCCGAAGCTATGTGCAAGAAGCTGAGCGTGCAGTGGATCAAGGGCGCGCGCGTTGGACTTCTGGAGAGGAGAGATGCCCACGTGGTGCTTACGCAACCCGAAATCGTGACGTGAAAGACGGTAAGACGCTTACCCGACGATGCGACATTCGGTAGGGTGCTGCAGGGGAAACGTTGGAGAGAACAGCCCGAGTCAGGCGGCCCTCGTGCGTATCCTACCCCTTGAGATTCAGAGCAGAGTGGTGGCTCAAACACCTGGGTATCAGGAGGAGATCGACACGCCAAGGGCACGCGTCCAGCTGATGAAGGCAGAGACTTGACCAGAGGTGGTGACGACAGGTACAGCAGAGTCAGCAACAGCAGCAACGATAAACTCGGATGGTGGAATCGAAGAAACACTTGGCGATGCCATAACGACGGACGCTCAAGGCTTGCGAAGGCCGGCCAAGAGCGAGTACACGAGGCGACTACGATTCAAGCAGACGGTCTCAGCTATGCAGGCTGAGTGTACGGAGGTCAACGACTGGCTCTCGCAGGAGGCGCTCTACCCGCAGCGCCGCTCCGAGGCCAGCATCAAAGCCTCGAGGCTCGTGGAGATCAAGAAATTCGTTGACGACGGCTACGTCAAGGATCAGAAGATCGAGGATGATCCCGCACAAGGAGAAGCCACGTTACTGTGCGAAGGAGTTCGCCACGACGAAGGGGCCCACAGTGTTTGCCGCAGCCAGTGAGGAGGCCACTGTTTCCATAGTGGATTTGATTGCGGTCACGATTGGAAATCCTCAGATGTGTTTTAGTGCAGTATCGGCGTTCACCCAGGCACCAGAGGAAACACTTATATTCATATTCATTCGGCCGGCACCAGAGTACCAACAAGATTGCGAGAATGACATGGGGTGGCAAGGCCTGAGGACCATGTACGGCAGGATGTCAGGAGCTCGGAACCGGCAGGAACACTTTTCTAACGTGATCAAGCCCAAGGACTGAAAATGCGGCTTCTCACAGGACTGCAAGTCCCCAAGCGTCTTTCACACCACGGTGCTGGACGATACGATCGGCCTGCACGTGGATGACGGTATGACGACAGGTCCCAGCAAAGGCCTGTCACAACTCAAGAAATATATGGACGCCAAATTGGACCAAATGCCAATACTAAGCATCCTGGCGTTACGCGATTCGGAGTGATGGAGGGACTGACCCTTCAGGCGACTCGGCGCAGACCAACTACATCGACACAAGCTTGGCCGACATGGCAATGGAAAGGTGCAATCCACCTCACTCGCCAAAGCTCGACTAGACTGCCATGGAGGGCGACGATCAGGAGCTGTGCGAGGCGGACGCTAAACTATATAGGAAGGTGATTTGCAGGCTGATAGTCCTGACACAGAAGCGACGAAATCTCGCAGAAACGGTAGAATGGTTGTGCCAACGATTGAATCATCCAGACTGCAAGTCCAAGCGACAGCTCATCAAACTGATGCGGCATCTGAAGGGTACCAGGAACCACGCGATGTCCTACTCAGAAGATGAGGTCCCAAGCAGGATCAACGTCTACTGCGACTGCGAGTGGGGAGGAAATGAGCTAAACAGAGGAGCGTGATGGGAAACACTATCATGATAGCTGGATGCCGAGTGCATTGCCACACTCGATGTGGGGATCGGCACGCGCTTTCATCAGTCGAGTCGGATATCATGAACAGCAGCGAGATCATGAAGGAGGCGCTGGGCATCCAGCACCTGTTGGAAGCTGCCATTGTACTGCCTCACGGACGCGACGGTGGCTAAGGCGTTCATGCATCGACGCGGCTGCGCGTGTCTGGATATACGACACATGGGGTTGCAGGACGAAGGTGCAAGTGGCGGCATTGTCCCCAAGAAAACTCCCAGAGAGGAGAGCCAAGCAGATACGCGAACGAAGGTCCCATGCCCGACGGAGGTCAAGATTTTCAGTCTGAATCTGGGACTATTTTCGATCGGCAGCCTACAATCGAAATATATATATATAGAGAGAGAAATGACTGGCGGGAAGGACGCAAGGGCCTTGGACGCCGAAATTGGCACTTCTTGGGCGGCGGACTGCCAATACCCTGAAAGACTGGCCATTGACGCGCGAAGGACAGGCCGCAGAGGCAAGAACGGCGTCCCTCCTATGTTTGACTGTAGTCGAGCCCGAGGCGGTGGTACGAGCCACGAATGATGCGAGGAGTGCGATTGGCAACGTTCTGACTGCGGTGCCGCTTGCACCACCAGCTCGGGCGACCACGACGGAGACTGCGACGACTGAGTCCACTGGAGAGTGCCCATGGACGCTCTCAGCAATGGTGCTGTACATGATTTTGATGATGACTTGTGTCTGTGACTTGTGTTGCAGGGAACAGCCTGCGACGGCAACTTTGGCGGACCGCACCACGCCTTTGCTAACATCGATCTCTGTGGGCACTCAGACGGTGCCAGATCAAGCCAGCAAGAATGTACCAGCCTAGGTCTTGGTCTGCCCGTCTGGCAAGACATCTCATAAACGCTGGTGCAAGGCACGCGAAGCAGGACACCATAACAGAGCCCTGCAATATTTGCTCTTGACCTCTCGAGCCTTCAGGGATGCATGTTCTCTTGTTTGAAGTTAGGCGCGCACTGTGCGCCCGAGTTTTCCCGAGCAGGTAAACATGCAATACGAACGGGTGGAAGTCCGAGAATTATGGCGGATGAGTTCGGCTAGGTTGTGAATACTTCCTGGGGCCGTCTAGCTGAAGGCGACATGCCCTCTAGCTGAAAGGGTATATGCCCAGATTTAAGCCTAGACAGTTCAGTGTTACAGCTCAGAGTGCAGATCATCATACTTGTGAGTGCAGGGTTTGTCAGGAGAAACTGTTTCAGAGATGGTCTGAATTCGATTTCGTGTCGCATTCATCCTGGCTCAGAAAAATGTGACAGTCGGATATCGATATCTAGTTTCGCTTGCTATCCTTATTCGAACTATGATCCCCACTACTACCATTATTGATATTGTACTCCGTGCTGACTTTCTAATGATGGTCATTCGTATTACTGCTGCTCGTCTTCGTCTCATGTTTCGTATTACTGTTGTGATTGATTGGCGACGATTTTCCTCCTCTTCCCACGGCCTCCTGCTCCGCCTTCCATCCCCCGCTCCCTCGCGGCGTTCCTCGTGGGTGGCCCGGTAGTTGTCGGCCTGCCCCGCGCGGCTCTCTCGCGCGCGGGGGGCCGCTGGCAGGTGCCCCCGCGGGGGCCGGCTCTCGCGCTCGAGCGGAGGAGGCCACGGAGGCCTCCTGGACGGGGTCCGAGTAGGTGGGATCGGAGGAGGGCCTCCTAGATGGCGCCGCGTCGCCAAGGCGTCGCCGACGCATCGGTGATGCATCGGCGATGCGTCGGCGACGTTGGCGTGGAGAGCATCGGGCTCCATCTCGCGCCGCATCGCCGAGGCATCGGCGATGCGGCGCGATTCGACGACCGCCTCTCCCTGCTCTGGCTCCATTGGGGAGGGCTGGACGGGAGGCTTGCAGTCGGAGGAGGGGCCGTCGAGACAACGGCGGCCCTCCCACTCTTCTGGAGGCGTCTCGTTGGGCCGGCTGCATCCGCCACGCAAAGCGCGTCAGGATGCATCCCAGGAGGCAACGGAAACCGACTTTGAGCAGACCTGGGCCGGGCAGGAGAACCCGCCAGTGTCTCTGTCGGCCCTCCTCCGACGTGGGACACGTGGGAGGAGAAAGGGAGGAGGGAAAAAAGGAGGAGGCGGAGGAGGGAAAAAGGGAAGAGGAGGAGGAGGAGGAGGAGGAGGAGGAGGAGGAGGAGGAGGAGGAGAAGGAAGGCACTTGATATGAGACGTGTTCCACAACCACAACAAAAGCTGTCGTCATCATCAGCATCAGCATCATCATCATCATCATCATCCTCATCCTCATCATCATCATCAGCATCAGCATCATCATCATCATCATCATCATCATCATCATCATCAGCATCATCATCATCGTCCTCATCATCATCGTCAACATCATCACCTTCATCATCATCATCAGCATCATCATCATAAGCATCACCATTATCATCATCATCATCACCATCAGCATCCTCAGAAGCAACATCCTCAGACTCATCAACAACACTACCATCTCCGTCACCAACATCATCACCACCACCAAGACCATCACCATCGATACCACCATCACCATCACCATCACCATCCTCATCCGCATCGTCGACATTATCACCACCATTATTACCACCATCAGCATCATAACCATCATCATCATGACCATCACCATCATCATCATCATCATCATCATCATCATCATCATCATCATAAGCATCACCTTTATCCTCATCAGAATCACCATCATCATCACCATCATCATCATCATCAACATCATCATCATCATCATCATCATCACCGTCAGCATCTGCACACGCATCATAATCATCACTACCACCAGCCGCAGCAGCCGCAGTAGCATCAGCAGCGGCATTCGCATCACCAGCCTCTGTGGGGAGCGCCAGGGGAAGTTGTTCATCCCGTGCGTAGCCACTGCAAAGCAATCGGCTGGCAACGAACCGCTACCCTCTGGCCTGTGTGGAAACAGGTGCCTCGGGGACGGATGAACGGCGTGATATCGACCAGCTAAAGAGTATCACAGCATCTTCGCCGCACCAGGAAGGACCTGGGGAACATCGGGCCCGTTTCGGAACCCCAGGTGGCCTTAATGAAAAGACGGGCAGGGCTGCCGCGGCAGGCTGGGCCACGCCCACGCGGTACCCTGGAAGCCACGCGGCCCGGTGAGACGACGGCGGCGCGGCGGCGGTGGACGCGCTCCAATCGACGGCGCGGTCGACGGACGCGAAATCTTGAGCAACACGCCTGCTCTTCCTCCTCTTTCTCATCCCTCTTGCTACTACTTCTAAACATCCGTTTGATCCTCCTCCTCCTCCCCTTGTTCACTCTGCCCACCCCGTCTTCCTAGTCCGTTCCTCCTGATCCTCCTCCTCCTTCCCATCATCGTCCTCCTCGCCCGCTCTTCCTTCTGGTCCCCTGTGGGTCCTCCTCCTCCTCCTCCTCCTCCTCCTCCTCCTCCTGCTCCTCCCCCCATGCTTCCACTCCTTCTACCCATTCTCGGCCTCAACCCCCATCCTCCTTCTCCTCCACCCCCATCCTCCTCCTCCTCCTCCTCCTCCTCCTCCTCCTCCTCCTCCTCCTCCTTCCCCTCCTTCCGTTCTGCTCATCAAAGACCTCCTCCTCATCGTGGCCGTCCCTCCTCCTCCTCCTTTTCCTCCTCCTCCTCCTTTTCCTCCTTTTCCTCCTCCTCCTCCTCCCCTTCCTCATTACCCTCCTCCTCGTAATCCCCCCTCCCCCGAAGCCTCATCAGTGTCCTCCTCGTCTTCCCTATTATCGTTGTTCTCCTCCTCCTCCTCCACCTCCTCCTCCTTAGTCTTCTTCTTCTTAGTATAATTATTATTATTCGTATGATTATTCATAGTATTATTATTCTTGTTATTACTACTATTATCCTCCTCCTCCTCCCCCTCTTCCTCCGCCTTCTCCTCCTCCTCCTCCTCCTCCTCCTCCTCCTCCTCCTCCTCCTCCTCCTCCCCCCCTTCCGCCTCTCAAGATCCTCTTCCCCCTCCTGGATGGAGAGAGCAGGCCGCGTTCCACTACACGGGCGTTCCTCTTTCGTTCGCAGCTCGGTGGCGGCTCTCTCGTCCGCCTGCCACCGGGCGACGTCCTCGTCACGCTCCTGTGGGAGGAGAAGGGGGACAGGAGGGAGAAGAGGACGGAGAAGAGGAGGAGGAGGCGGAGGGAGGGAAGAGCGGAGGATGGAGAAATAGCTCGACGTGGCGGCAATCTGATGATCCAAACTATATATCAATATACGGCTCGTCGCGGGAAGGGCGCCGCGGTGCCGTTCGCCATGGCTGGGCTATGCAAGTAAGGTGCAGGCCCCGCCTGCCGTCAAGGCATGCACGCAGAAATGACAAGCTACGTCAGAACGCGATCATGCAAGAGGTCTGTCACGCTTGTGCACCCGTCGAGGGATGAGCCGAGAAGAGAAGGGTTGGAGCCTTACAGGCCAGGTCGCTAAACTCACGACTGTCAGGCTGGGGGTGGGAGCTACTGGCTGGCATCGTCTCGCCGCACACGAATCGAATGGGCATCCTGCTTTCGTCCACCTCGAAATCCCCAAAGATGCACCGCCATATCTTGTCTCCCTTCTAATGCTTCCTTAGAGGCCTCCTAGATGGGGTCGGAGTAGATGGGGTCGGAGGATCTCGCCGCATCGCCGATACATCGGCAATGCATCGCCGATGCATATGCGCTGGCAACGTCGGCGATGCATCGGCGACGTTGGCGTGGAGAAAATCGGGCCCCGCATCGTGCCGCATCGCCGATGCATCGCCGAGGCATCAGCGATGCGGCACGATCCTCCGACCCCATCTAGGAGCTCTAGATTCCTGGCGTCGCAGATGGGTCACTGGGGCGCGCCGGGCCGCATCGGCACAATGTCCCTGTGCCAGCCTGGCGGCGCCGGGCCCGTGTGCCGGGCCCGTGCGCCAGGCCCGTGTGCCAGGCCCGTGCGCGCCGAGGGGCGACCCGGCCTGCGATATCCTGGCCGTTGCGCCGCCTTGGGGCGCAGCAGATCAATGACAGGATCGTGCGATCCTTGTAGTATTAGGTCGGGCCTGTCCCCCTACAGGCGGATTTAAGAAAAATATGAAAAGTAGCCAACAAATATTCAAACAGTGCTCCAAAATACTCAAAGAACAGTCTCCATGATATCTTTCTGAATATTTCTGAATATTCCCCTGTAGAGGGACAGGCCCGATATAATTGTAGTGGAAGATGTCGCAGTCGACCTGCTGGTTGGATCGCGTCGAGAAGCGCAATGCGGGACTCGTTTGGCGCGCTGGTGGCAGCCACGTGCGGCATTCCCGACCAGCCGCTGACCGCTGTGGGGACGAGGCCGACGCCTACTTGGCCAGATGCTGCCGCCGGTAGAGGTTGGCTGGGCCCCTGATTCCCGACGATTGGTTTCATTGGAGCGAAGCTCGACAGCTGCTTCCCCCCGTGGAGGGCGGGTCGCTCGGGACAAAAAGCGTGCCCGGTGGCAGCCCTGCCGCTCACGAGGGGGCCGCGACGGCTCACGAGGGCTCGTCGGGCCACGCCGGCACGGCGGCCTCGTTCCGTCCCGGCTGTGCTGGGGCCTGTGCGCCTTGATGCAGCCGTGCCGCTCACGCGCGGGTTGGGCCACGACGCTTTGCGTCAGGCCCCGCACGGTGCGGCTGCCGCGATGACTTGGCGGCCTCCTCGACGTGGGCCCTCTCTCGACGCGGACCGCCTGCACCACGAGCTCCGCGTCCTGCAGGGGCTCGGGCGGCCGCGCCCCCAGGGAGGGGCCCCCAGGGAGTGGGGGCTCGGTGTCGCGCGTGCTCTGGCCTGCCTGCCAGACCACCCCACCCAAGCCCGAAGACCCAAACTTCGGGTTGGGGAGGGGGTGCGAGTTCCATAACTATGTGTTGTCCAGTGATCCCCGACGCTCCCCCCCACACTGGGGATGTAGGGCAAACTGGGGCATTCGGGTTGGACCGGAATGCTTTGGTGGGTGGTGAGCTCCTGCCTCAGGTGTCGCACTCCTGCTGCCGCCGAAGAGTGCCATAGCCATGCCCACAGCTGGACAGCCCACCTGCCAGGGGGGCGTCGCCCCCCTTCTCGCGCGCCTCGGCCAACGAGCCCCTGAGCAGCTCGACCTCGGCATGCGAGTTCTTCACCGCCGGGGGGTCGGACGGCATCGTGATAGTCAGGTCGGGCGTGTCCGCTCACAGGCGGATTTTGGACGACAGATAACACATAATCAACAAATTGTCAAAAATGCTCCAAAATAATCCGCAAATCGTCCCCACGCTATTTTTTGACTATCTTTGAATATTCCTCCTGTAGAGGGATGTGCCCGACTTAGTGACAGTGTCGATCACCGTGCTGGGTGAAAGTCGAGGGCGCTGAGCCGTCTGCAGAGCAAATTCCATCACCACGACCTTCGCATCGGGAGGAGGGGAGAACAGGAAATTGGTGGGAGGGAAGAGGAACCAAGAGGAGAACATATAACAAGGAGGAGAAGGAGGAGGAGAAGGAAGGACAACGAGGAGAGAGGAGGAGGAGGAGGAGGAGGAGGAGGAGGAGGAGGGAGGAAAACGAGGAGGAGGGAGATCTTCAAAGGTTTCCCGAGGGTGTGCAGTCGCTTGGGGGGTCCAGGGTCCAGGGGTGTCCACGGGCTGCGGGCGCGGAGCGCTGGGCCTCCAACACCTCCATCCCGATTGGGGCGGGGTCTGCAGGCGACGGCGTTGGCCGAAGGGTGCGAGAAAGACGACGACGGCAAGGAGGACAACCAGGGTGAGGAGGAAGCGGGCAATCGGCGGCGACGATAAGGGCGAATAGCCCGGGGGCAGGCATTACACGCATTCGCCCCGGAGCCTTGTCGAAGACATGGATCATCGGCGCCCCTGCATACATGCATTACTCTCGCCTGGGCTATTCACCCCTATCGTCGCCTCTGAGGTAAGGAGGAGGATGTGGACGAGGGCGTGGAAGTACGCACGGACGAGCCATCCCTGCCATTGGTCGTCCCGGCCTAGCTGGGACTTGGTGGGGGGGCTATGGCCTCTGGGAACATGCAGACATGCATTGTGAAAGCGAGACGCTTAGACAGAAGAGGAAAGGCAGGATATCCTGGTGTTGCATGGCGGCGAAGTGTTGCCATGTGTCGTGGGTATAGGAGTGTTCGAGCGTCAACCACACGAGCACGTATTGAGCCGGTTGAACCAAGGTTACCCCTATGGAGGACCTCTGGAAGTAATGACAGTGTACGCAAGAGGAACAAGAGAAGCGGCACCAAGAGAAAGAGGAGAAAGGCTGGGGACGAGGAACACCGCATCGACCCGAACATATGGCAGGGAAGATCAGACCGATACGGACCACAGCAGCTGAATTTCGTTGTCCTCCACCTCCCCGTGCTCATCCTCCAGGCTAGCTTCTCCATAAACCAGTCGCAACAACACCTCTGAGACCCGTCCATCGCAATCCCACAAGCACTTTAGGGCGTAGGTGGTCTAGGGAGTTTTCTCTTCCAACCCCCTTCTTCCCCTTCGGGGAGAGGTTTACCACTCCCACTACACTCTCCCCTGGACCTGGACGGGGCGCCCCGCGACGCGTTGAAGCACCCAAGATGGCTCAAGACGGCTCCAAGAGGGCCTCAGAGAACCCAAGATGGCCTCCAAGATGGCTCAAGATAGCCCAAGATCGCTCAAGATGGATTCCAAGATGCTCCAGAGGGCCCCAACCAAGAGGCCCCCAAGAGGCCCCCAAAAGGCGCCCAAAGAAGGTTCCCAAAAGGCCCCCAAGAGGCCCCCTAAGATGACCCCAAGCGGCCCCCAGAGGCCCCTCCGAGGCACCCAAGACGCCAAAATGCCCAGTGGTCCGCCAAAAGACCCCCAAGACGCCCCAAGAGGCCTCAACGAGGCGCCAAAGAAACGTACCAAGAGACTCCGAGAGGCGTCCAAGAGGCCCCCGCCCTCTTGCTCGCTTTCCTCTTCCTTCCTCTTCCTCTTCCTCTTCCTCCTCCTCTTCCTCCTCCTCCTCCTCCTCTTCATCCTATTCATGATCCTTCCCCCTCCCCCCTGTCCATCCATCCATCCATATTCTCAATTTTCTTGCCCAAGCCGCCGAGCGCGCTCTCTCGTAGCGTCAATCCATCCTCCTCCTCCTCCTCCTCCTTCGAAAGGTTCGGCTGCCCCCCTCGTTGCTCCAACACTTCCCTGATCACCTCAATTCGTCTGGGTGTCGTTTCTGGATGGGCACATTCTTTTGTCAGCAGCCGCAGGCGAGAGCGCACGCGGCGAGTCGAGTCAGAGCGGGCCGCGCAAAGACGAACTACCTCATTCTGGATGGGCACGCGACGCGTCAAGAATTTGGACACCTCCCCCAAAACGACCTCTTTCAACCTGTCTGAGCGCTCCGTTTCCATACCATTGCGTAAACAGTCCCCCAGCTCCTTGCCCAGAATAGGCGGAAGATGAATGATACTGGACGAGACCCGATGTGCTTCAGCGTGGAGATCGTACGGACGTCTGAGGGACCGTCGCATGGGTGATGTTCGCATCATATTCCGACCACTCACATCGAACGTCTAGGAGTCGCTGCGCGAACCCATGACACCGAGATGGCCAGCCGAGACTTCATCTTCTTCGGCTGCATCGGCATCGCCATCTTCTCTTCGGCCGTTCCTCCCCATCCCCCTGCCCCTGTCTGCCTGCTTCTTGACTCCGAGGCCTCCTCCCGGCCTCGTTCTGAGGCTGCGCCCCCCTTTTCCTCCCCCTTCTCTGTTTAATTCAAACTTCGCGCGGCCCACTTTGCTTCGACCGGAAGAGGTGCGCTCTCGACCCGCGAATCAAAAAACTGTCTGCCTGCCTCTGATTGCTTGCTCTGTTTGCTGTTTGTTCGGCTTGCTCGCCTGCTGGATGGGTGGGAAGGGACGATACGTAATACATCGCCACTAACCTGGCGCCGTACGTGTAGCGTCAGGGGGGGCGGGCTGCTCACCCACCGTCCCACCATATGGGACGGTTCGAAGGCTCTGTGAGAAGTACGGGGTAGGCACGGAAGGGCACCATACGCCCTTCCACCACGAGGGGAGTGCATGATAGCCTCCACCATCACAGGAGTGCATCATAGCCCATGGATGCCCATGGAAACCACAACCCACACATATTGTATACAATTGTTCACTCCATGCATAGCATGCTGTCTCCTCATTATCCTCCCCTCTTCGTCCCTCCTCCTCTCTCCTCCTTCTCCTACTTCTCCTCCTCCTCCCCATCCACTCATACGACGTTCTTTCTCGGGGAGAGAAGCGGCGAAATGAGACCAGCACTCGACTTGCCTATCCTCCTCCTCCTCCACCTCATACACCTCCTCCACCTCCTGCATACCCATTCTCTTCATCCTCCTCGCTCGCGTCCTTCACGCGCGCGTCGAGCTTCTGAATGCGCGACTCGGCCTTCGCTATGGTGGCCTGTACCCCGCGTTTGCGCGAGGCGGCGATGCCAAGAGGAAAATGGAGAAAGATACGACAATCGGCGGTGGACAAACTTCCCTTTAGTAGACCTGGCCTTAGTGAACACGGCCTGGGACCGAATCCGACGGACCTGGACCCGCAAACATGACGGCCGCGACGCCCTCTCGCGAACCGAAAACGGCCAATTCCTTATTCGGTCTACCAACCTCCGAGACAAAGAAAAATGGGGGATCCAAAAGATACGGATACCGCACCCAGCGGTGGCCACGAGGGGTTCCCAAGAGGCCGAGAGAGACAATAACGAAACAGGGTAGCGGCATGGGTACCCGTTCCTCCTCTGGGAAGAGGGGGGCAACGCCAAGCACAAGATTTTGGAGTCCCGAAACGGTGAGGTCAGACCGTGCGGTGACCTCGAAATCCCCCAAGACCTCACCGCACGGTCCGTCAACGCACGGTCTTGGGACCTCGGAGGCCCCAGTCGCCCGAGACGTCCTCGGAGAGGGACTCGAGTCCCCAAACCGTGCGGTGACCCCAAATCCCCACCGACTCACCACACGGTGTGGTCACCGCCCCGTTTGGGGGCCACCGACAAGCGTAGCCCCACCCCCGAGGCCTCCGGGAGGAGCTGACAGACTTCCCCCGCGCTCCCCGACGAGGCTGCCGCTGGCTTGCGCGGGGAGGACGACCCCGCGAGGAGAGCGCTGGCGTCAGGTCGGGCCTGTCCCTCTACAGGAGGAATATTCGAACATAGTCCAAAAATAATAAGGGGATGATTTTCCTAATATTTTTGAACATGCTTGAATATTGTGGGATTGAAACAAAAATTCTCGTCCAACATCCGCCTGTAGGGGGACATGCCCGACCTGACTAACGCTGGCGCCACTCCGCGGCCAGACGAGGCACCGCGTCTTGAGCGAACCCTTGGCGCGCATATCTTTAGGCGGCGAGAGAGGGGGGAAGTGAGACGGGGCGGGCCTTCTCAGAGGCTCGGAAGTCCCCGGGCCTTCTGAGAAGTGTTTCAAGCCTTCCCCGAAGACACAACAAAAACTTCTCAGAAGGCGCGAGGGCGTCTGAGAAGTCCCGCCGCCTTCTGTGCAGGCTTTCTCCCTTTCATTTCCGCCTGCCGCTCGCCGCCGACACTTGGATCTCCAGCTGAGCACGCGGGCTTCCAACCTTGAAGGGGCCCAGGGACACGCAAACAAACGAATCCCAGGATCCCCTGTATGTTTCCATCCGTTCTGGACGTTCGTCTTCCCCTCCGCCTCCAACGTCTCCCAATCACATAATTCACGGGATTCGACGTTCATTTGTGCCTGCACCGATTTTTCCCGCCTGAAGCCTGCAAGTTTGGGGGGTGCGTCTGCCTCGGCGGACTGTCAACACATTCCGTCGCGGTCAAGGGGACTGGAACTGGTTCTCGCATCTCGGCACGAATGGAAAAGAGTCCAGAAAGAAACGGGTCCTGGATCCCGGGGGCCTCCTGGGCACAGGTCATGGGTTTCTGTTGTAGGGCCCAATAAAGCAAACAACGGCAAGGCAGTTCAGGACCCGCTTCCCTCAAGAGAATGTTCCTGCCTTGACGAGCGAACAACATGCACCCTTACCCATAAGGGGGACGGGTGGGGCTGTAGGTGCGTGTTGTCGGATGGGAATCCCCGATCGAAAGCGGGCCTCCCCTGGGGTCGGACAGCCCGCGCCGATACCGATAGCCCAAACTCCTCCATCCGACCCCCCTTTGGGCATGGGTGTGTGTTGACCGTTCGTCACTCCTGGCTTTCATCTCGGTCCAGGAATTCTGCAAGAAACTTTGCTGCCCTTTCGGGTGGCGAAGGTCCCGCGATGGCAGCGAGCCGCGAACGGCAACCTACGGTGGTGGCCAAGGCGGTCTTCAGTATTTCTTTCCCTCTCATGGTATATATATATATATATATATATATATATATATATACTAGAACCACGCGCGCGCTTCGCGCGCGCTTAGGTTCTAGCTAGGAGGCGGGCTTGAGTCAACGAAAGTCGCAGGGAAGGGGCCAGGGGGAAGAAGGCCAGAGAGCGCTGAAGGATACAAATACTGGAACCCTCTTGTGATTTTGTGGGGGGCCTCGTCCGGCCGCTCGCTGGGAGTTTGACGTAGCTTCTCGGGAGCCTCTGAACCTGTCGGGGGCCTCCTGGAAGCAGGTTCGAAGCATTTTGGGGGCCGATTTGGGGCTTCTCGGGGCCTCCTTTGGGCCTCTTGGGGGTCTCCTGGGGCCTCTTGAGGGGCCTCCTTGGGGCCTCCTGGCGGCCTCTTGGGGCGGAAGGCTCGAGCTTGCGGTTCGTGGTCCCCCTCTGGGCCCCCTCTTGGGCCCGTCTTGGGGCCCTCTTGGGCCATCTTGGGCGCCTCTTGGGCCGTCTTGGGGCCCTCTTGGGCTGTCCTGGGGCCCTCTTGGAAGCTTCTTGGGCCGTCTTGGGGCGGTCTTGGAGGCCTCTTGGGCCGTCTTGGACGCGGTGAAAGCCCAAGATGCGAACATGCGAAAAATATACGTTTTCCCATAGGAATGGCACGATTTTTGTTTCTTGGACCTCTTGGGGTGCCTCTCGGAACGTCTTGGGCTGATTTTGGAAGCCTTTTGGCGCCTCTGGGTGGCGTTTTGGCGCCTCCTGGGATATGTTGGGCCGGAAGCTCGGAATTCGAGAGTGGCTTTCTCCTTCTGGGACCCCTCTCGAAGTCGTCTTGGGGTTCTCTTGGGCCGTCTTGGGGCCGTCCTGAGCCACTCGTGCGCAGCCTTGGAGCGCTCCCGGAGGCCTCCTAGGCCGTCTTGGAGGCCTCTTGGGCCGTCTTGGACGCGGTGAAAGCCCAAGATGCGAACATGCGAAAATATACGTTTTCCCATAGGAATGGCACGATTTTTGTTTCTTGGACCTCTCTTGGGGTGCCTCTCGGAACGTCTTGGGGTGCTTTTGGGAGCCTTTTGGCGCCTCTTGGCGGCATTTTGGCGCCTCCTGGAGCCTCTTGGGCCGGAAGCTCGGAATTCGAGGTTGGCTTTCTCCGTCTGGGACCCCTCTCGAACTCGTCTTGGGGCTCTCTTCGGCCGTCTTGGGGCCGTCCTGGGACACTCGTGCGCAGCCTTGGAGCGCTCCCGGAGGCCTCGTAGACCGTCTTGGGCGCCTCTTGGGCCGTCTTGGACGCGGTGAAAACCCAAGAGGCGAACATGCGAAAAATATACGTTTTCCCATAGGAATGGCACGATTTTTGCTTCTTGGGCCTCTCTTGGGCTGCCTCTCGGAGCGTCTTGGAGGCTTCTGGGACCTTCTTGGTGTCATGACAGGCGTCTTGGAAGGCATCTGGAGCCATCGGAGCGCGTTTCGAAGCCGCCTGCGAACGATCTTGGACGGCGTCCGGCGGTCCGACGAGCCTCCGGGCCCCCCGGAGCCCACATTTGTGGTCGGGGTCCCGGCCCCGGGCCCCCGGACCCGGTGCGCCGTTATATGTATATTCCCCAGAGGCCTCTAAGCCGCATACCAGCAGGAATATCAAACGCAGCAGCAAAAGTCGGAGCCACAACCACAGGCACAGGATAGAGCCCGAGGGTCCAAAAGGGGGCACTCCGCAAGCTGTTGAGACGATTCCGAACATCATCGTGACTGGCCATGCAGCAACATCTCGAGTACAGAAAAAGACATCTAGCGCTCGCCTCAAGGACGAGCGCGCATTCGTCCTCTCGAAGCCCGACAGGGTGACGGTAGGGAAGGGGGTGACATAACTGAGCCATCACAATTGCAGCATGCAACGCGTGGTGCAAAGGACCGGTATGTTACGCAAGGCGGAGGGGAAACCACATCTATGTATATATATATATATATATATATATATACTCGAACCATCGCGCACGCTTCGCACGCGCACAGGTTCTAGCAGGCGGGTGGCCAAGCGGAAAAGCTCGGTGAACCCCTGCATCCTTCTGCTCATCCTGATCCTACCTCAATCCCAAATCCTGCTCCTCCTCCTCCTCTTCCCTTCTCCTACTTCTCCGCACTGTCCTCCTTCTCCTCCTCCTCCTCCTCCTCCGCATACTCTCAGGTCGCGCCCCCCTACAGGCATATTTCAGACGAAACAAAAAATACCCCAGAAATGCTCAAACATGGTCAACAATAGTAGTAAAATCGTCCCCATACTATTGTTTGTCAACTTTAGAACATTCCTCCTGTAGAGGGACAGGCCCGACTTAAACACACTCCCTGGCTTCTCTGTCGCTTCCCTCCCTCTCCGTCCGCGGCAGGCGGGCACCCTCGCAGCAGAGGCGCACGCCTTGAGCAGCGAGATCTCGTCGTCGGAGGTCTGGATCT